GTCGCTACCTCTTTCCCCAAAGCATCATGGGAGTTGTGGTCTCTAAGGCTAGATTGCAGCCAGGGGCGGCTCTAATGTTTTTTGCCGCCCCAAGCATGGCAGTCAGGCGACCTTCAGTGGCACGCCTGCGGGCGGTCCGCTGGTCACGCGGATTCGGCGGCGTTTCCGCGGGTGATCTGCCAGTCCCACGCCTTCGGTGTACCTGCCGCCGAATTACCGCCGAAGCCGCGGGACTGGCGGACCTCCCGCAGGCATGCCGCCGAAGGCCGCCTGACTGCTGCCTTCACGGCGACTGGCAGGCCGCCCTCCCTCGTGGCTTGCCGCCCCACGCACGCACTTTTCCCCTGGAACTCTCCCAATAAAGTTCAGAGGCCCCTCTAGGAAAGGAACGTAGCAGCTGCCACACAAGTTCAGACCCAGGGTCCATCTGGTCCAGTTTCCTGTCTCAGACAGTGTCTATAACCAGATGATTCAAAGGATGGTATAAAAGCCCCACAGTGGGGAGATGTGGCACTATCAGTCCCACACATAGCTATCACCTGGGCCCATTGTAAAGCTGTGAGTTGTGTATGTTGTACAAGAGACAGGAATGTGACCTTTCAAGCAAATAATATGTTTTTAAAATTGTGGGTGTATATTTTTCTGAGCCATGATGACTCCTGATGAGGTGCAATGCAACTTTAGGCTGTGATCCTGCAAACATTTAAACCCTAGCAATTACTCTCTTGAGTAGTGCTGCTGTGTTCAGTGAGACTACTCGCAGGAGTAAATGCACTCAAATGCATCAGGGTTTGCAGGATTGGGCCAATGTTTTGTGCCGCAGTTTTCCTACCCGTCAGTCCCTAGGGCTAAGTAATGAACAATTGCAGAGTTCAGCAATAGCTTAGGACATATTGACTTTACTGAAATAAATCTCCATATTTATTAACCCAAGAGGTAAATATTGACTGAGGTGAAAGGACAGTCAATATTTACCAGGAGGGATAACAAAACAATGCAGCAGCTGTGAGAGACACCCAGGGCATATCTGCACTCCCGGGGCAGGAGCTGCATGACTGGCTAGGAAATACCTAACCCTACTTCCCACAAAGAGCTAACAAGTTGAGACTGGTAGGAAACCTGGTGAAAAGAAAATAATAGTACTTGGGCCAGGATTCAATGAAGCACTAAAACACTTTCAGGGAAGCACATGCTTTAGAACCCAGGCCTAAAAGTATTATTCTCCCCATTGTACATCAGGAGAAACTGAGGCGGAGAGATTAATAGCATGATCTGCAGAGGGGCTGAGCATTCACAGCTCCAGCCAAAGTCAATGGGAGCTGCGGGTGCTCAGCGCCTCTGAAGAGCTGGCAGTAAGGCCTTCATCCTGGGCTCGTTGAAGTCAGTGGCAAAACTCCCACTGATTTCCATGGTGCAAGTTCAGGCCTTAAGTGATTTGCCCAAGGCCACAGAGGGGGAGTCAGTGTCTCAAGTGGGGAGCTCTTGGCTCCCAGTCCTATACTCAGATTACTCAACTACAGAAGCAGCCAGAGGAGAAAACAGGTAGGGAGGAGGACGAGAGGCGGAAAAGGACCATATATAAGCCCATCAGTCAAGACTGAGTTAAGTGACCCAGTTTCAGGCCATCCCTAATAGGTACAGAGTGCAATAAACATTTGACTGGCTGCGGCGGCAGGAGAGTGGGGTGAAGGATTCTCACCACGTGTATTTTTTCTTTTCAGTGAGACTTGTCCGTGCATAAGTTTGCAACACATTTCCAACGCCCCTGGAGCAATGGTGGGAAATTTGAAACCACCCAATTAAATTTTGCACAAAAGCCATGTTAGCTCGAAAATTGCCACTTGTGAATGTTGAACGGGGGGTTGCGATTTACAGGATTCACGGAGGCTTATTTTCATGTACAAGGAGCTGTGACATGGGGAGGGCACTACCCGGTAACCAAGAGGTTAACATCAGCCAAGCTTCTTTTAGCCTTTCCACAGATGCTAAGGAAGAAGTGGGTGGGGGAATAGAATACCTTTCTCAATTCCCAGAGCTATGGGATCAGGCTCTATCAGATTTCTGTTTTCTTTTCTGCTGCTGGGAACTTGTTTATATTTTTTTGTTATAAACATGAATCCTCCAGGAAAAGACCTTTCATCTTTCATCAAGGTTGGACATTTTCCTAAAACATCTGCTCTAGGCCAGCAAGAAGTTACTGGGCTTGATAGAGTTCACTTACACTGCAGGAAATAATAATTCCTTCCTCAGCAGGAATTCTGTGACCTGTGTTACTGAGGCGATCAGACTGAATGATCACAATTGTCCCTTCAGGCTTTAAAATCTAGTATTAACCTTGCAGGGACTTTGTGAGTTTTCAGGTTGTTCATTGCATAGGAAAGTTCCGTTCCTGCAATGTCATGAGAAGAGGAAAATCGATATTTCAGAGGGTGCAGAAGTGCATGAAATCCATAAGTGAAAAAATTCACACTAATTTTTCCCACCTCTTCAAGGCAGTGATTTGTATTCACACTCAGCTGGATTGTGCTTGGCAACTAAAGGGTGTAATAAATATACTTGTAATCCTGGCTATCCAGGTTCCTTTTACTAAGAGGCAGTGCTTATGTGATCTGAGTTCTCTCCCTGACTTCTTTTGCCAGTATGTCTGTAGTGGGAACTGGGTGAGAGAAAATCAAAATGACTCACGCTGGGAATTTCACAACAGTTTTCTTTCCCATTTGCTGTTGGCTTTTGAATTGCCTTGACTTTATCAGACCAAACCACTCTCCTAAATACAGGTCTCTACCTGCACGTTCCTCCGGAGGGGGAGGTCAAAGTGAGGTCTGAAATGCAGGGCGGGGGAATCAGCGGCCCCTGTGATGTATAGTTGTGCAGCAGTCTCCATAGCTGGCCCATGAAGGGATTGTTTGGGGTGAGGTTATTTGGGGGGCTGCAGATTCAGTGATCAAGCCTCACGCATATAGGCCTTGTCTGCACCCAGCTTTTTCTTAACTCTCCTGTTGTTGCAGCTCCACTGGTGATAGTAACAGTAGCGGTTGCCACTGTAACCTGATTGTCCATTGAAAATCTGATGTGAACAGATCTTGGGCTGCCAATTTTGGTTGGACGTATTCCTGGAGGCTTCAGCACATGATAATCTTTAATGAAAGGTTAATCTGTAATTAATCTTTGGAGACTCCAGGACAATCCTGGAGGGTTGGCAACCCTAGTGCCATGTATACAAATCAGAAGTTCATGATCTGTAGATAGCAAAAGTAGAATCCGAGAGTTGGGGTCAGGGGCTTGGATCTTGCAGCACCATAGAATCATAGAATATCAGGGTTGGAAGGGACCTCAGGAGGTCATCTAGTCCAACCCCCTGCTCAAAGCAGGACCAATCCCCAACTAAATCATCCCAGCCAGGGCTTTGTCAAGCCTGACCTTAAAAACCTCTAAGGAAGGAGATTCCACCACCTCCCTAGGTAACCCATTCCAGTGCTTCAACATAGCCAGGCCTGATTTCCACAGGGAAATCAGTGGCCACCGGCTGACACCAGGGTTGCCTTACTCTCACCATCAGCTTGTCCTAAAACAGTAAGGCTAAAGGCAGGGAGGCCAGTGAGCAGGGCACTCAGCTAGAGTCCTGGGTTCAACTCCTCACTCTGCCACTGTCCTACTGCATAACCTTAGGCAAGTCACATCATCTATCTGTGCCTTAGTTTCCCCTCCCACCCATTCTGTATTTAGACTGTCACTCTTTGGGGGCAGGGATTGTCTCTTACATTGTGTAGGTATAACAGGGCTATGATCTCTTTCAGGGCTTCCAGACTAATGCAGTATTGCCAACTCTCATGACTGTTGCTATTTTTCTTGAGGGCCCTGCTCGAGGAATCATGAAAACCCCAGCTTTCATTAAACAAAAAAGAAGTTTCTAGCTCTCATGGTTGCAGAGGAAAACTGGAAAGCAAAACCCAGGGGCCCCCCGGAGATTCAAAAACCTGAAGGGATATTAAAAAAGGAATTCAAAAATTGTTATTTTTTAAAAGCTCAAGATTTTTTTTTCAGACCTGGCTCATGATTTTATGAATGTTTGGGATGGCCCACGCTGATACTGTAATGCAAAGAATAATGAATGAGGTGAATGGGTGAGCGCTGACAAGACTGGGTTCTGATCTCATTAGCTGGGCAGACAAGCCTGAGTTTGAACGGCCAGGGCAGAAAATGCAACTGTGGTGTAACATTTAGGCATTCCCCAAAGCTTCACGCTGAGTCATACAAGTGTCAAGATAATATGGTGGTGGGTGCTGTGATTAGGTTAGATTAGATTGGCTATGTCTTTGCTGGGGGAAAAAGGTGTGTTCTTAACTCCGCTTAATATAGGAGTGAAGACATAGCGACTTGGTTTTAACTGGGTTTAGCAGTTTGAGTTCAACTCCACTAAAGGAGTTCCTCACACTCCTAATCTGAGTTGCTGTATCTTCACTGTTTGCTAACCTGAGTTAAGAACACACCTCTTTTTGCAGTGAATGCACGGTTTTTGTGCAAGCATCTGGGAGTGTGACAAAAGCAGACAAGCCCTTACACATACCCTGGTCACGGACCCTGCAGGGGAAGTTAGCTATTGAAAGATCTCTCTGTGTGCTAAGAAAGCTCGTGAGAAATAAGGGGGAAAGATGGTGGCTGATTATGTTGTTGGTTTTTAAGCCACTCCTGTTTTTTGTTGTTGTTGAATGCTTGGGGTTCACAATATTGGTGACTGAACTTAATTCCAGCTAGGCAGCACAACACCCATCTACTGTTCCTGCCGCTACGCCATCACCTGGGGTTAGCTGCAGCTTAACCACATTGGCTAGATCTACGCCATGCCCTAACCACTGTGGTTGACATCACTCAGACATTCAGCGTCACACTAGCTCCTAACTATGAGGTATTGTCTCTGCTGTGAGTAGGTGGGGAACAAGCAAAAGGGAGGCGACACAAGAGCTTCTCGCTCGCACCTTCTCGCACAGAATCATAACAACTAGAGGTGCAAGGATCTTGGTGAATTTACATTCGCAACACCCCTTTCAGGTAAGGCAGTTTTATCGCCACCCACTTTAAATGGAGACGGGAATCACAGCCAGATTAAGGGACTTGCCCACGGTTGCGCAGGAAGCCTGTGACACAGCGTAGTGTTGAGCACAGAGGCCCAGAGCCTCAAAACTCCATTGAAATGAATGGGCCATGTCTACACATGCAGCGAGCTATCCCGCTGCAGTACATCTGGTGAAGACTCTTCCATCGGCATAAAAAACCTACCTGCGTGAGCTCTCCCACCGAAATAGTACTGTGCACGTGAGCACTTATGTAGGTGTAATTTATGTGGCTCTAGGGGGAGGTTTATTCACACCCCTGAGCTATATAAGTTATGCTGAGATACGCTGTAATGTAGACATGGCTTTAGTCACCTAAATACCTCTGAGGATCTGGGCCAGACTTTTAAATTCCATTTCATTGTCTTAACCACACCACCACCCTTCCCCTGTGATCTCAGTGGAGTCAATCTAGTTTTACAGTGGGTTCTTCAAAGGGCTCAGAATCTAGTGCACAATACTGTTTACAGGACTATAGCAGAGCCACATAATACAGTAACTCCTCACTTAAAGTCATCCCGGTTAACGTTGTTTCGTTGTTATGTTGCTGATCAATTAGGGAACATGCTGGTTTAAGGTTGTGCAATGCTCCCTTCTAACATCGTTTGGCAGCCACCTGCTTTGTCTACTGCTTGCAGGAAGAGCAGCCTGTTTCAGATAGCTGGTGGGGGCTTGGAACCAGGGTGGACCGTCAGCCCCCCATCAGCTCCCCACTCCCCTAAGTTCCCTGTGCAGCAGCTGCCTGCAGTTCAGCTGTCCCTCCTCCCACTGCCATGTGCTGCTCTTATCCTCTGCCTTGGAGCTGCTCCCCAAGACTCCTGCTTGCTGTGAAGGGGGGAGGGAAGGAAGAGGGGGGCTAATGTCAGGGTGTCCCCCTCCCCCCTGCTCCTGCACCCCGTTTACCCCATCTTCCATAGAGCAGGGGACACACACCAGGGCTCAGGCCGGAAGGAGCTTGCAGCAGCTGTGGTCTCAGCAAGCTGATCTAATTAACAAGGCAGTGCACTTAAAGGGGAAATGCCCATCTCTCTCACATATATGGTGTGTGTCTCTGTCTGCGATGTCTCCCCTCCCTCCATTCCTGCTGCCTTGTAGAGTGAGAGAGTTAACCCTTAAGGGCTCAGCCAATTGCTAGTTCATCATTTAGCAGTAAGGGAAATATCCCACCCTCTGACTCCTCCACCTCAACCAAGCTTCACAATCATCATCACTGTGTACCAGTATTCAATTGTTTGTTTAAAACTTACTCTGTGTGTGTGTATATATATATAAAATATAGTCTTTTGTCTGATGAAAAAAATTTCCCTGGAACCTAACCCTCCCCCCATTTACATTAATTCTTATGGGGAAATTGGATTCGCTTAACATTGTTTCGCTTAAAGTCGCAATTTTCAGGAACATAACTACAATGTTAAGTGAGGAGTTACTGTGCTGATGTTAGTCAAACATTTTAAGGCTAGAATGGACCATTGTGATCTATTCTGATCAGCTGCATAACACAGGCCAGAGAATTTCACCCCCAGCAAGCCCAATAAGGCGTGTGGTTAAAGTTATGTAGGAGTGGGTTGTGCCGCACTTTCACTGTGGAATTCCATTGTGGCATTGTGGTTTCTGGCTCTCTAATTGTGGCCGTACATGGAGAAACCAATCGAGAGAAGAAAGTTTAAATTGCCCTTTTTAGTTTTTTTTTCCATAAAAAGGGGAGTTAAACACAAATCTACTTTAATGACAAAGATATAAATCAAGAAATAAAAAGGTAAAAAAGTCTCAGCTCAAACTTCACTCATTCACAATGCACATGTGGAATATTTCAAATTACTAGTGCTACTAAATGTAAATTCAGTACATGAGGGGCCTAATTATCCCCTCAAATAAGCATGCACAATTGGCATTATATATATGTATCGGTGGCCAATATTGTCCTATACCAAGTGTGAGAAAGGTAAGGTTGCTTTTGAGCACTTTACTCTTCTACTTCCTCACTTTGGAAGGGTTAATAATGTAACCTTAACATGACACACTTGGTGGTATCTATGTGATACACTGCAAAGCCCTTGAAATAAATTCCACCTTTGACGACCTCCCGTGCATTGTCCCATGGGAATACTTCTAACATTACAAATGTGTACATAGCTTCAGAGAGCCACTGTTTTATTTTTAACCAACCTGCTAAACAAATGTCTCTTTTCTGCAAAATGTGGCATTTCCCCTCAAAACTACCTACAGGAAGCCCAGCACAGGCAATATCCTGTATTTGGGCCAACGACCGATCAAAATTTGATATCTCACAAATCTGCCCTGAATCTCAATAGTTTGCCTTCAGTGAGGACCACACTACTTACTCTAGTTCCAGAAAGTCCCAAGATATAGGATGAGGTCATAGTCTTCACTGTCACTCCAGTTTCACATTGGAGTGCCTCCTTTGAAAAATGTAGAGCATCAAAAAAGGAGTCATGCAACAGAGAATCTGGTCCATGGCATTTTTATGTATAGGACAGATCAAGGTCATTTTGAATGTATTGGTTATAAATAGGTGGTAGGTAAGACACCTGGCTTTCCAGGGAGGAGACAAAAAACGGTCCTCGTGACTTTTAAATCAGTTTTTTTCTGTACCAGACACAGAATGCATGATGAGGTGGCATAAAGATTTGTGGCCAGATGTGTTGCTCTGGTATGAGCTGGATCTGGACAGTTGATAATCCCTCCAGTGTGGGAGAAGTCTCAGTCGACATAAAACCATCCCCAACCATCCAGTCTTAGCACAGGGTGTGAGAAGTGGGCATTGAAATGGCCATGTGTTCCACCAGTCCTTGGCCGCTGTACAGTCCCCTGGGGAATGCTGGCAGCGGTTAGCACAGTCCTTAGGCCAGGGGTGCTGGTGAAGGTTGGCCTAGAGAACCAGGGAGCCATAACTAGCTTCCTGGTGGTCCCCTTTCTCCTGTTCTGTGTGGTGATCTGCCTAACTAGTTCTGTAAAAGCAGCAAAGAGGCCGGTGGCACCTTATAGACTAACAGACGTTTTGGAGCATGAGCTTTCGTGGGCGAATACCCACTTCGTCGGATGCAATTCGCCCATGAAAGCTCATGCTCCAATACGTCTGTTAGTCTATAAGGTGCCACAGGACTCTTCGCTGCTTTTACAGATCCAGACTAACACGGCTACCCCTCTGATACCTAACTATTTTTGGCTCCCTCCCTTTACTTGTGAGTAATGCAACCATCCCAGACACGTGCTAATTCAACCTTCATGCCACCTCTCTTCATATGTTTAAAATAAACCCTAAATATATAAAAGATCATAACTGATATTCCTAACTCCCCAGCTCTGACACACCCAATTCCTTACACACAAAAAGATTAGAAAAATATGGGTCCCTACCCGGGCAATATCCCACTTTGGGACCAATCCTGCCACGTTCATTCACTAATATTAAAATCCATGTGACTATTTGTGTGAGTAGGGACTGTTATTTGGACTAAAGGTTGTGGGATTGGGACTCTTTAGGGGAATTTATGTATTCAGAAGCCTGATTGTTTAAACAAAATGATCTGAGATAACAGAATGGGAATCTTTATTGCTATTTGTTTCCCTGTTGCAGGGGCCTGATTCTTATTCCTTGTGCACCAACACTCCTCTAAAAAAGCAACAGGAGTGTCGGGTGTGCAAGAAATGCAGAAGCAGGTCTTTTCCCACTCAGGGACACAGTCTCTAAGGGTTTGTCTACATGAGGGGCTTAATCTGCAGTTTTCTGAGGTGCATCCAGTTATGCGCAATATGCAGCCGCACTAACAACATGCACACAGGACAGCTGTGCACCTGGCAGTGGCTTGCAGCATACTAAGCACATGGTGTTCGCGGAGGATATCCCATGGTCCTTGGCGTCGCTGCAGCCTAGGATTTTTCTTGCTGTGCATTGTGGGATGCATAGCGGAAGCCAGGCGGATTCAAATTTTAAAAAACACCATGATTCATCTGACTCCACCCCTGACTTCGTTTCTGGGTGGGCTAGCACCATTTCTGAATTCCTGTCAGCCAGCATGGACCCCACTGTACTTCATGCTATTAGGCTGGCAACCTCAGACCTGCAGAGACCGCGTTTCAACACTCAAAGCTGGATGAATTAGTCTTGGGACTTCTCCTGCTGGACCACCAAGCAGATGATGTGCTAGTGGCAGCAGCTTCTCCAGCCACAGGAGGAGCTTCAGAGATGGAGAAAGCCGGACAAGGTGGAGGAAGCTGAGGAAGACACCTAGCACCTGAGATTAGAGGAGCAGCTTTGTTCACAGCGTGATGCACTGTTTCCTGGCTCAGGAAACCAGCGTAGATAGGTGGAAGGATCATTCTATGGGCCAGGAATGACCAGCAGTGGTGAGAGAATTTCAAAATAGGGAAAGCAACAGTTTTTTTTTTTTTTAGATATGTGCTGAACTAACCCCGGAGCTGCAGTGACAGCATGCCAACATGTGCTTCATATCGTTGGAGAAGCAGTTGCCCTTGCCACCTGGAAGCTGGCTACCCCCTAATGCTACCTGGCTCTGTGATCTAGTGAACCATGCCCCAGGGGGCCTTTGGGTTCTGGCCCCAGCTCTGCCACTTAACATGTTAATGTGGGTAGATCACTTGCACACCGGGGCCTTGATCTTGGTGGGGATCTCTGGTTGCTGCTATACTTAGTACAGCCTAGAGAATGATCCTTTACTTCCCTGGCCATGAGAAAATTAATAGGAAATGGGTCTGATCCTGCAAACCTTAGGATGGATAGAATCGGGCCCTATGTTTATTTCTTAGTATTTTATTTATTTCCTATTTTATGCTGGTTTATAATATTTTAAGGACTCAGCCTCAATGTCTTTGTGCACCCAAAACTCCCACTGCAGTCAGTGACAGTACTGAATGCAACAGTCATGCCCGAGCAAACCTAAATGTTATGGTACATCAGTGAGGGATAGGAATTGCTAGGTACATGCTACCCCTACCTTGCAATGAACTTCACCTGGGCATACCCCTGTGTCTGAGCAGGATCAGGTCCCTAGATACTACAGTAACTAGAACTAGATAAATACTTTAGGGCAGGGGTAGGCAACCTTTCAGAAGCGATGGGCCGAGTCTTCATTTATTCACTTTAATTTAAGGTTTCGCGTGCCGGTAATACACTTTAACGTTTTTTAGACGGTCTCTCTCTCTCTCTAAGTCTATATTATATAACCAAAGGGAGAGCTGCTGCAAATGCTATTGGAGCAAGCCTAGGGCTTATGTTGTGAGCGAGCCTATTGAAGCCAATGGTAGCAAACCCTGGGTGCTGTGCAGGATTGGGCACTCACTGAGATAGGACCCAATTCTGCTCTCCAGGTAAACTGGGGGTGACACCATTGAAATCAGACCATGCCCCCCGGCCATGTAGGAATGGGTGTGATGGGAAGGAAGATGACCAAGGTCTGGCCTAGCTAACCACCCTCAGATTTTCCAAGAAGAAGGGAGAAACTGTCACAGGCAAAGGCATTTTCTGCACCTCCACTTTGTACTGCGCTGCAGGAGCTAAAGTTGCACAAGTCA